AGTCTTTTTCTACGTCTCGCATGGTTATTTCTTGAGAGTTTTTAACTCTTAGGGTTTTATGTCTGGCTTTGCTACTAGAGCTTGCTTCTCCGGAAGAACGGGTAGACAAGATTCTCCTAAGGCTTGCCATTTTAATATTTTGGGTGTTATGCTTTCTTTTTGTTCTCCTCCTAATTCAAGGTTGCTAGTCCCTGCCTAGGTCTCTCAACGCCTTACGCCTCTCTAGCAACAGCTAACGAGCCTATCCGACAACTAGACAACTCGATGACTATTGAGTAAAGGAAACTTGATAGAAAAACTAGAAGATTAAACCTGCAAAACTTAGTTAAAGCCTTCAACCTATCAACTCATCTAGGGACTTTCGCCCTCTGATACTAGGTACTGGCCCAGCCTATTATATATATATCCCCTTCTATTGAGGGACTTGAGGGACACACTTTAGGATCTCCTATGAATTTTTTTTTCAATGATCCAAACCATCTTTTTTTTAAGTCTACATTCATCCTTGCAAAAAAAAAAAAAATTAGAGAAATCGAAAAACGTTTCAATGAATACGGTGCTTCAAAAAAGTACTAAAATTTCAATCATTCAATTGAGTGGTCAAATGATATCGGATTCAAGTGATTTTTTGTATAAATGATATTTGAATGAATATCTACAAAATAGACAATTTGAATTAGTAAAATACAATATAGAGTGGACTTTATAAGGGTGTCTTTCAAATAAGCTTGTTTGAGGGATTGCTCAATGAAAGCTCTCTATGTATATATATTTAAAGAGTATAGTAAATATATTCGAGCAAAATTGGGTTGGGATTGAATGAAATTTCTGTTAAGGCCTAAAAAAGTCACGGGAAGCCCAAAGACATTTAAAGCCCAATATAACATATAATGTTGGTCATACGTTAATTTAAGCTGTATTTTGAGAATTAATTTATGAAATAAATATAAAAATAGTATGCATGCCATGCCAAGCTAATAATACATTTTTCATATGCCAATCATCTACCAAGCTCACATGAACCCAAGTCATGTGGTTTACAGGGCATGCATGAGGTATTGTGGTGTGGAAGGTTACGGAGGTCCACAAGGCCCATGGAAGCTCTTGGATAATGGAGACTTTAGGCTATCTACTTGGGAGCACCAAAGTCCAAGCCCATTACTCGGAGTTCTCCAATGTGGGTGAGCAAAGGAGATATTCTTCAAGCACCCCCTATTACCCACTGGAATCAAGCCAATTCCGACACTTCCTTTTACCCATAAGAAATAGTTATTTTTTAATGCCTACCTTTACTTGTTGGAAATAGGAATGTCCTAATGCCCCCTTTTACCCATTGGAAATAAACTAACTCCAACACTTCTTTTTACCTATTGGAAACCAAAGAGAGCCTTCACCTTCTATAAATTGGGAGGCATTGCCTAGGCAAAACCAACCCCTCTTGGTTGTTGCAAGCCTCTTAGCAACCATGATAACTCACCTTTCTTTAGCTGCTGCAAGCATTTCAGTAGTCATCACAGTCATTCCTGAGCCATCAACTTCCATCCTTTGACTGCTACAAGCATCCCAACAACCATTGACCAACATCTCTTGGTTGCTCAAGCACCTCAGCAACCATCAAACCACCTTCCTTCCTCCCTTCGGCAGCTGCAAGCGTTCCAGCAGCCATCCCAGCCATTCCTCAATTATCACAACCATTTCTTCTACTTTCTCACCATTGAGATTCTCTATCTTCCCTATAAAGCCTCACCAAGCATAACTCCAAGCTTTTCCTTCCTCCTCATACCCTTCCAAGTTATAAACACCATAGCCTTCAAGCCTCAAGATTTTCCTTCCATCCTTCCACCTTTAAAACTCATAAATCTCTCTAAAATCATAGTCACAAACACCACAGCCTTCAAAGTCTTAAGCTTTTCTTTCCTCAACTATGCTTTTTGAAACCCCATTCATTTGACTCCTATAAGCATCCCAATAACCATCATAGCCAAACAATCAAACCAATGGCGGACCTATTAAGGTGCAAGGAGGTGCATCTACACATTTCCTCGCTGGAAAAACCACTTTAGGTGCTTCAAATTACCCATTTGCTCAACTGGTGTATAAATTACCTTATTTCCATTTTCAACATTTAAGTAAATGTCTTTGTCCTCCTTTTACTTTCATTTATTTTTATATTACTCTATTTACTTAAGTTTACAATGTAAATAAGGAAACACCCCCCATTTGGATTCAAATCAAAATGCTAGAAAATCAAATTCCCACCAAATCAAAATACGAAAAATTGGTTTTAGTGCAAAATGCGATTTAGGCTAAAAATGATGGCTCATTAAGTCAATATATACTTCATACTAAAATTCCATAAAATCAAGTTTTCTTGTTTGATGTGTAAGGAATAAAAGCTGCCAAAAATTATCTTGAGAAAATGATTATTCTGAAAAACCATTTTTCATACTTAGTCAATATTGCACCTCCGCTAAAAAAATTCTGGGTCTGCCAGTGAATCAAACCACCATAGCCATAGCTTCAAACAATAAATTCTCAACACCCAAACTCAAGTCAAACACCAAGCCAAGCACAAGCATTCTCATTTGCTAAACTTGTGGGTCTTTAGCTCCCACACTCCAAGTTCTCATGTCAAGCTCTTATAATCTCATATCAACATCAGGAAGTCATCTTCAACCATCCAGAGCACGACCAAGCAATTGTCAAGCTGCTGGAAATCTACTAAAGCCACTCATCCTTTATCTCTCTCTCTCTCTCTCTCTCTCTCTCTCTCTCTCTCTCTCTCTCTCTCAAAAAGCTCCATTCCAAATCTGAAACACCCATCTTCTCAAGCTAAGTTGAAACCATAGTCATTACCCTTTTGGTAAGAAAACGTGTTGTGTAGATTTCAGCTGCACCAAAATGGATTAAGCTGCATCCTCAACTTGTGATACTCGCAAGTGCACGA